GGCATGGAAGTCGGTCAGCATGTAACCATGTGATCTGGTTTCCGTGATTGAAAGATGACTGGCGCTGTATATTCCTTAGTGCGAACTGATGACACTGATGATCAGCCGCTCGCTGCACAATGATCTAGCCTTCTACAAGGCGTGAGTTTGGGAGTTCGAGGCTCCGTGAGGATGCCCACTACTGGTGACCCCTAGTAAGGACGAAACTGCTGTGTAGTGCCTCTTGGGATAGAGCGGCGAAATCTCAATTGGTATTTGCACCAAGTTGCAAGCTCTATTTCAACCTACTCAAATACAGTACTAACGCTGTAAGGGGTGGCTTGGTGTAGAGAACTGGTAATGGAATTAAGCCCGGTAGTCCAGTGTTTGACCTCGCGGACTTTTGTCTCTACAATTTGTCTCTTCAATTTTCGGATTGAAGCGTGGGTACTTTCAAACTGGCTCCCGGCTCCCTTCCTGAAAATTGTGAGCACACCTTTTTTCTCATCAAATAAAAAGTGGAGAGAAAAAACTGCACGATGAGCAGCGAAATTCGATGGCCCTCCGAGCGGCAAAATAGCGCAAACTTTGCATTTTATGAGGGATGAAACACGTTTCTGCGAACTGTAAGGCAAAGTACTCATTACTTGAGTGAAAGATGGATGACACTCGCAAAATACATAGGATTTTGGAAGAAGTGATAGTGGGATTATTGGAAAGTGAATTTGTCAAAGGAAAGGAAATTGTCATTCGCTTCATCCGGGACTACTTTAATAGGTAATGTCTCTAACATGCTGTAGTAACGTTTGGCAAACGATCGGAAAACACATTATTTTCCCGGGGTTTCCGCTGAATGAAAAACACTTTGGCAGACATATGGCTGCCTGTCGAAAGCACGACCAAACCAGCCTATTGAGTCTCATCTGTTTGTTAGAAAGAGCACGTGACTAGTTGTTCACTCGTGTTAGGTTCATACACTCCTCAACTCTGAGTCTCGTGAAAACCAAATTGATTTGCAAATGAGTGTATTTCTCGAAAACAGTTCAATTTGGGTTCAAGTAGAACATAAGGTTGACGGAAACTCGGGGACTGCGCCTACCTGATGAGCCCAAGAAGGGCGAAACCGGTCGTGTGCTGTCGAAGAGTTTTCACCTCACCTGGTGGCGAGGATATTTGATAATAACTTGATTCACTTGAATTTCCAATAGAAATCAGAGTGATTTTCTCTGATTTTGTCATTTTGTCAATTGTGTGCAATTCGATACGCAAGTGGAAATAAGGATTGCGGAAACTACTGGGCTACACCTGCCTGGTCAAACCCAAACGAGAGGCCAGCTCGATAATGGGCTGTTGAAGACTGGTGCGTAATGTCAAAACACAGGTGAGATTGACTTTAAAAATAACATTCTCAGGACATAACTGCGATATCCACAGTCTCAAAACAAAATTCTTCAGTCCTTTGGGCTTCAGAAACTCTGTAGATTCTAGGGCTACCACGCACATGGGGGAAAATGTCTTTTTAAGCAATCAACTTTGCCGTGAGTACTATTTGATACCCACGATGGGTTAATTGCTTTTTTGCCTAATATGTTTTCACTTTGCCAGATTTGTCACCAGCCTATGTTCTTTATTCTCGACTTCTAAACAAGATGCTTTGATTTTGAGAGACATCATGCTAAAAACTGTTGATTAAAAAAGTTCCCAATAGATTGGTTGTACCCCCAGAGGTTTTACTCGCCAACAAGTCTATTGTAAGCCTATGGATGTTAGCCCACTGGTCTGATAATCCAAGAAGTCAACCAGAAAAACATAATAGACCACTGCCTTAACGTAGCCATATCTACAGCCATCCTCGAGTTCAAGGTCGTCCACTGGTTAAAGTGCGAACTTACTAACCAGAAGTTTGGTGGTTCAAACCCAACTCCTGCATTTCAACTGATATTGTCCAGGCTTGAGCGACCCTCCAATATTTTTCATCGTTCGTAATTCCTTCATGTATTATGCTATATGGGCATCAAAAGGGTGCTACAACTGAGTGATTAGTTGTATTTTATACTATTTATGGTAGCCTCGTGGCCTAAACCAACTCTGTGGCAAGATCTTCCAACCTAATGGCGGTTCAGGATTCCTTTTTGCTGTTTTACAAGCAAGCCGTGGTATCTCGACCTAAATGGTAGTTTACACTACCCTTAATAACTTTTATCCTGAGTTTCAGCTGAGCGAAAACCCGCTTTTCGTTGCGGACTCTAGTAATGCTCAACTGTAAGCACCATACATTCTGTTCCCCAGAAAAATCAAATTCTCCATCTCGGATATACAACTGTCATCCCACTATATTGGTAATTTTCACGATAATACATTTAAAATATTCGATTTTCTTGAGTCAAAGGTCCATTCAACACTTTGTCAACAAGACCAAGTACATCCCTCTGTCCTGCTTTGACAGCCAGTAAGCACGCACTGGTCTGGTTTTACGAACATATTATGTCAAACGATGATGACAACCCACTGCTCTTGACATGGACACATCAGTGGCTACCATACGACCCAACCTGGCACAGACTACACGGTTGCTAGATCCCACTTGGGTATTTTGTCCATGAAAATCGTGCTTTATTGATCGCAGCTTCCAAGTTTGCACGGTGGACTGTCAACTTCTGACTCTAGTCCAAAGTTGAAGTGCTCGGCATCCAACTTTTTAACGCCTTGTACGACCCCCGAAACTACACTCTACCGTTCTCCACATCTTTCCGTGTATTCTTATTTAACCATATCCTAAATGACGATACGCGCTCCCAGATTCCAGTCAATATAGGAGTCGGTAAGTGTTTGTCATAGGAAAAACATTTCGTCATACGGTGATGATACACTTCACATAAGCGGGCATGTTGGACAGAATTTCAAACCGATACCTCTACCGCTCTCAGTTAGGCACTGTTGCGGCTTACCCCGCGCAAGATTGGCCAAACTTTCGGGCCGCTTGCCGGTCCGCTATCAAGGTTAGGTCGAAAGCCTGGACCCAAGAGCCAATTATGACCCAATATTGGCCGAATGCCGGTTGCCAGTACCTCATCCAGAACCCGTCAGAATTTTCAGAACGTTGTTGCCACTTACGCTATATATATGAAGCGCTGTACAAGTGATCCTGACTTCGTTTTGGGCGTTAATATGCCTTTTGCACCCTTGCTGGTTGTTTTGTCGGGAGACCCAGTTTGGGAGCCTCAGAACGAGAACTAAGCTGAGGAAAATACGGTTATAATATGGCATGGGCTACATCACGTCATTAGTCAATTCAAAAAAGTCCACAACTTACCTACGCAGATGCTAAACATTGGGTAGGGAGGGAAAGTGATCCGCTTCGCAACCCGATGATTCTACTCTAAACAACATGGTTTTTTGAATGAGTTTGGATTGACCAGCGCTTGAGTTTCTTGCAGCATCAGCCTTACCAGCTTTCACTTTTTAGCCGTGTCATTTTGGCAGCAGTGAACCGTACTCTCATATTATGCTCACTTCTGCATCCGAAAGTAAAGATCAATTGTTCGAAGAAACACCTCCCTCCTAAACAAACATACGGAGACAGCCGTGACTGTGCTGTCCAATAGCTGTGGTCCTGCGATTTGCATCTCTCAGCTTAGCTCTAAACCTCTTTGAAGCTCAGATGAACTTTGGAGATCGCCGGGCGGATTTTTCAGTCCACTGAATGTCTAACAAAGAAACATGTTTGAAATGCGGATTTAGAAGTTCATTTATCGCACCGGACTGCGAGGTACAGAAGTCTCGGGAGATTCGGACCCAAACGATGGACACCAAATAACTTGGACTCGGAGTTGTCTGTAGCATAAAACTCACTTTGAAGTATTTGCTATTGCAAAAGCATTGAAATGAGCAACAAGCTGGCGAATAAACAATTCGTCTCACAGCAAGTAAATGTAACAGTAGAGGGCAACCACAAAACTGGATGCTTTCGTAACATAAACATAGCCACTTACCGTAGTCCTTGTGCCATTTCGTACAGATCCATCAGAAAAGCCTGTTCCTCATCTGAGTAGTCTGGTTTCGGTCCAAGGCCAACAACCAACGCTATCGTGTCAGTGGCCTCCGCTTCCATCTTGTCCGTGGGTTCAATTGTGTGACAATTGAAGAATGTGTGATGACTGAACTTACGAATTCTAAAACCGTCCATCTTAGTGCAGTCATCCTCAATCTGCATGGCCTGATTCACACGACGCATGCAGTTGAGAAATATCGATGTGTCATGTCCCAATCGATAAGCGTCTTCCGTGTTCAAGTTCTGATAGTAGATAGACATACTATCGTACTGGTACAAGTTGCTGGAAATATCCAGATTGTTTCGCTCCAAATGGTATTGTGTAAGTTTGCGCATTTCACGATTAAATGCACTAGGTGACAGGACTTTGTTCTCACGCCACAATCGATAGGCCTCAGCGGAGAACGGATGATGGTGACAGACTGTGAGCGCGGGAAACGGAGAATGTGCATCCAACGCCACATGAACGTTAACAGCAACGTCGTACAACAAATAGTCTTGAACCAAGTAATAACTTGTTAGAAACAGTCCGACAGTCATGGTGATGACGAAAAACCACCAAAGACCACGAAGGAAGCGGGGTCCACGATTGAGACGAGGAACTCCGCGAATGGTAAATGTGTCTGAGACGAGTTTTATCAAATTGGAGCTTGTTATTGCCATGATTTTGAATATCCTGAGAGCAAACCTTAGTATTCCGCGTGAACTAGGTTTTTCTGTTCAGAAATTTGACCAAGTTCGCATGCTGCTTTGAGCTGAGTCCGATCAATAATGAATTGATACAGTCTGTTTTGGCTTGTGGGCAAGTGCTCTCAGTTCCCAGTCTGTAGAAATAAAAAGATACATGTTACTTATAGAATAAACAATAACCAACTGGAGAAAAATCGAATATCACAGTCTAGTGAGCTCTACGTTTAGATAACACTAAGTTTCAAGAAATATCTTAGCTACCGAACACTCTTTTATGAACAATCATTCGCTCATACGTGCCTGACCTTCGATCAACTGTCTAAGGGAGGTATAAAATTGGATCGCTCAGCATTCGTCAGATGTTTTCATCATGGGAGTCAAACGCACGTACACAGGATGGAACAGTATGGTTTCCATACACGATAATACAATTGGCCATTTCAGTTATCACCATGTGGGCGTAAGATCTAGCTATGGTTTGACCTTGAATATTCAATTATACTTTGGTGGTAAGACGGCCGTGAAAGCTCTAGATCAAACGCCTTACTGAGGCATATCTCCCACACCCATTGTTGTCCCGTGGGTTTCGGTCTATCGGAGCGACCCTATTTACTGCTTGTAATTAACAGGGTCGTCTGATAAGTTTGTCAGGACAATTAATAACCTATCAGATTTGGTTGCAAAATCCGAGCCTCCAATAATTTCAACAGTGACTTATGCGAGTAAACGCACTAGTGATTATGGAATTTTGGAGATCCCGTTTAGAACTCATAAGCTTGGTATGGTCTAAATGTAAGGTGCTTAATTTTTCGTGGCCCGATTCGATCGCACCAGATGTCTTCTGCAAGCCATTTGGGGGACACAACACCTGAGAATAAGTACAAAAATCACGAAAAAACAGGCCGCACTCAAACCAAGTTGGTTCCGGGGCACCTGAACACAGCCGAGGTTCGTCCTACGGAACGTACCCACCAAAGTACAACCAACCTACACGAAGGAGACTCATTTGCACCGGAATTAAGAAAAGGGATGTCCCGGCGTATTTTCGAAATTTCTTGAATATTTGATATCAATAAAGGATGAAACCGAGATGTCAGAATAAAACAATATCTTTTAATTTGATTATGGTGGAGTGAGAGTCGTCCTCCGTCCTGCAAACAGATGTTACTCACGTTGCATCAGTGGTATAATTGTTAAGCCACTGCAGCCTGTTCCAACTATCCTACTGCAGCCTCGTCTGTATCCGATCACAATTCGACCAGTTGTGCTGAAACTTTTCATGGAGATTCCAGAACGACCCACCACAACTAGGTTCAGTGGTTAAATCGTTTTTGGTGCATTACCTAATTATCCTCGGTACCAACCATGTACCGACCATTTTTTACAGACCTGACTTCGAGTTGATCGCATCTAGAGGAGAGTTGCAGAGAAGATTTCGAGTACATCATTCGCTTACACTCTAGAAAATTTTAAAATAAACCTACAGGCATTGATCACTACGCGCTCCCGAATTTGTTCGAATCAGTAAATCAGTATTCGTATCACTTTCATTCGGTCCATAAGGGCTTGGTTAACGAGAAGTAAGTTTATAATTATGATAAATAGTCGTTCAATTGTAACAACCTTTCCGTGCCTAGCTGCCATGCCACCAGAGGGAAGCACAAAGGCTGAGATATTGCCAGGTTGCCCAAGCCTAGACAGGGGGAGTCGGGGGTCAGAGGTCGGGTTCGAACCACGGACCTTACGGTCAGTAAGTTTGCACGCTATCCACGGAGGCATCTCCCCCCCCCCCTCATTAAGTTTATAACTCGGTAACGTTTCGCTTGTGCAACAAAAACTTCGTCACGCCAAGTGAACAGACCACCAAAATTTACCCAAGGTGAATCACCAATGGAGTATCTCGCACCGGAATATGAACGGCCCAAGCCCGATCAATAATGATCTTAAATTACCCCAACCTATCAATCGTAAGATTTAGGCGACCACGTTAACCGATAAGACTTTTTAACTGACATCCAACACTGATTTAATGTGCTAATCCGAACAGATCTTGGTGGCAGGTTCTCCGTCTGCTTAAAAACCCGACAACTTACTAAACTACTTACTTAGCCTGAAGAAAATTTTGTCAAAAGCGGAACGTCGCTCAGTTATAAAAAGTCAGATCATTTACCAACTTCTCCTGAAACGGGTACTTCGCAACCGGTTCCAAACTTGTTCCGGTTGATTGAAAATCCACATTCGATGGCTTGCATATAGAGTGCCTACAAAATTACACATTAGCTTGAAGAAGCGGTCTAACTGTGAATTACAAGTCTACAAATTTGTCATAGAATCTTTTACCTTCACCACCGACTGTTCGGAACGAATAAGGCTTTGAAGATATCTGGAAATACTTAAATGTAGGTACGGTGGATTCTAACAGTGTGGAAGCTGCAACCTCAAGTGGTACCTCTAAGGGTAAAAAACCTCAGCGGCTTTCCCACGGAGCGGATTAGCATAAAAAAGTGATTACTCTCACCAGGTAAATGAACGTAAGATGATAATGAGCCTACGGATGCTCCGATCGATGGTGCGAATCGGACGAGTGGAATGAAAGACACACGTTAGATGCATAATCGAAGATTTATCAGCTACACTATGCCATTCAATTACTACAACAGTTTCGAGCCGAACCAAGGACATTGTTCTGACAGTTATTTTTCCGCTTAGCCGTTAAGGTGGACTAGCTTTTTCGAAAACTACTTTGCTTATAAGGGTCTCTGGTTGCGAGTTCTCTCCACCATACATACACACAGCCTGTAAGTTACAACAAAATCCCGCCGTTTCTGAATAGTTTCATGCGACTGAGACCAGGATGAAAATGTAGCATTTTTTTCGCGGTCGGCTAGCCTGATTCGTCTGCCGTTCTGTATTAATCAGTTTCAATTGAAGCTCTAGATTTCAGACTGACTGGTTTAGGTGAACAATAAACAGAAAAGTGTCACCTAAACAAGGTTGCAGCTGACACGACATCACCGTGGTAATGAGAAATGACTATGCATTAAAAAATCTTGTTGCTCTGATTTAACGATCAGAGCAAAAACAAGTTGATTCGGTCGTTTTTTTCGACTTGTGGAAAGTGTATGAAATGTGGAATCTGTACTCAGTAAGTATTCTCTAAATTAACTTAACTTTCTTTGGACAACATTCACCAAGGAACAAGTACAGTGGCGAATGGCTGGCAGCTTCATTTGTTAACTATTAACCTCTAGCAGTCAGTCGAGGTTACACGACCGAAAAACGCACAAATTATTTCGTTAAAATTGTTCCCTGTTTTGCCCTTGCCATTGTGAAATGTCCAACGTTGCGTCTCAAAAGAGTTTAGACGCCAAGCACATAAAAGATGGAAACGAACTCGAGACGCTGTTCCTCACTTACTGGACAAGTGCTCTACCGATTGAGCAATCGACAATACGTTGTACTTTATACGTGATTGTCGGTTGAAATATTCATATAACCGTTTGATAATCAGAAAAATTCATGGGTTTAACCACAAGTCTGTTGGGAGGACCTGATGAGTGCCAAAATATAGGATAAGAATTTTAACGATTTCTTGAGGTGAGTGTGAAACTCAGGGGCAAACTTAAAAGGTCAAAATCAATTTCATCTAAGCCTACCAGAGGAAGTTCAACTAAGACAGATAAGTCGAGTGTTTTAGCTTTCAAGAATCCGGTAACACACTTACCGTATGGAAAGCTTCCTGTTGGAGGAGAAAAATCCGAAGGCTATGAGCTGTAGAGCTCCCTAAGTTGGACGATTTCAAATCCCAAGTTTGAAGGCACATAAAAGGTAAGAAAAAACTTGAGGCCTTATAACCTTTTGTTCCTCAGCTACCAACTGAGAGCCAACCAGCTGGAGACTAAGCCATCATGCCATCCTGCAAGCCTTAAGATTTGCAAAATTTGCACTGAATTAGACACCCAACAAAAATAAGTAAATCGTCGAATGTTCAATCATTTTTATCATTGAATTTTAACGTAAAAGTATAAACGGAAAGCTAGAGAGTGCGACCTCGCATCAGTCTTTCTTCCTCACGGACAAATATTATCCTAGCTGAGCTACTAGAGACCTTGACACTTCTTGCACACACTCACTGGGTTTCACATTCCAAAAGTCGACAAACGACGCACTTCCCTTCAATTGGTGAGGCCTTCATTTGGTTTTCACAATGAAATATATCATCTATATAAAGAAACATGCCAGTGGACATCAAATGGTAATTCCCTGGGTGGTGTAGCCTGTTTATTTGCCTCTCAATTTCACCCAATGAATGCCGACCAACTTCTAAATAAAACAGACCTAATGGAACACGAGTCAGGCAAGCCGTGAATCCGCGGGCTTGAGTCAAATTTCACTCAGCTGTCTTCTCTTCTATATTTTCCCTAAAACTACAAAGTCGTTGAATGAGACGTATTCTTTTGTGAACATAAACTAAAACGAACCAACAATTTCCATACAAACCTTCAGTCAGATGCAAAGACGACGCTTTGAAACATCTGACTCGATGCTACTTGCACGTTTCATCAGTAATATCAACCGTTACACTTGTAAAGGTTCAATTTATATCCTACACGAGAAACCAATTGGAGGTACTAACAATAAGCCTGAAAAGACTAAAGTAACTAGTACTGATATGGTGGCATAAATGCGAACCAAAATTAGCGGAGTGGATACATTTGCTCAAATTACAATGAAAATAATTGGTTTTATATTTTGTTTTTTTCTACCCCAACATTCATTCCCCGTGTATGTCGTTTTGTGGGCCGCTTGTAAGTGTAACAGCCTTAGGAGGCCGTGAGGGTGCTGTACGAACGATCTAATAGCTAATTCTCATCGAGTAAGGAGACAGATAATCTAATTTCTCAAAGAAAATTATGAAAAACAAAAACAGTCTTTCTGAAGGCACGAACAGCTCCAATTTGTCTATAACTGTCAAAACAGGCTGTAGTGACAAGCGTACAAAGAAATGAGACAGTTTGTCTAAATAATGCAACGTTAGTCTCAGTGGTAGATTCGTGACTATATTTGTATTGAAGTAAGATAACGCTATTCTTCATGCCCGACCAAGAAAGATTTAGGACGGCGTAACCCACAG